TTTTCAATATTGTGACAGTCATTTATTTGTGTGTTTATGTTAGGTCCTTATTGTAATTGACCAGTGGGTGGTGAAAGCTATCGAATAAATTACTTATACATACATATAAGTGCAAAGTAAGCGCAATAAAAAAGTGTTAAAATATATTAGTTTGGAGAAAAAGAAAAAGAAAAAACCTGTTTGAAATGTCAACAAAAGAGAGAATTGAGGAATAATCGTAGATATAACGTTTGAACACACACGAAGCTCTTGCAAATTGACAGGAAATCTCACCCACTTAAATGTTTCCGGTGAGCCAACACAGTTAGGCAGAAGCAGATTGAATATAATGGGTTCTAAATGATTTTAGGTCAGCGATTGATTGATATAGACAAAATAAAAAGCAAAAAATGTTATGATGAGTACTTGTTTTGTAAAACATTGCCTAAGCTGTTAAAAACAAATTGTAGATTATCGAATTAGCTATTCCTTCTATTCGTTAACGCTCTTCTGTAATTGTATTGTAAGAGTTGTCGACTCACGGTCACATATGACCGTGTTGTCATTAATTTGAGTTCTCGCAAAAGAATTCTAATGGCTGTAAGAAATACAGCTGCCACAAAATACTTGTGCCTGATGTTTATCAAATGCTCTCCAGTGTAGTTGATACTGTTGCAATTCTCAAATGTCATTACAAACCTGCGGATATTTTTTGTTTTAGACCATATTTAGTGGAGAGTTAGACATATTTTAGTTTGGTCAGGTTAGACTTTGGTTTGATGTGGTACGGTCGAAGGTGACAAATATACGATTTGTAATGAAAAAGAGAGGCTAGATTACGTTAGGATGGTTAAGTTATATTGGGTTTTTTTTCGCTTTTTTCCGTTGTATACATGTTATGTATTTGTTATCATGTTATGAAATGTGAGAGACAAGCCAATTAGAGTTGTGATTTAATCGATAAACGATGCGGGTTAGGTTAGGTAAGGATGAGTCTCGGCTTAATTGAGTCCGACAATATAGTATGCAAGTAGGCTGTCTAAGAAGAGAAAATTGAATGCGAGCCAAACGAACGAGGGCCACCGCACGAATCAAGAACACGAGAACTTTACACAGGAAATTTCGACCACTGTTGTCGTGGCTGCGTTTGCACTCGAATTTCGCCAAAGGTTAGGTTTATTTTTTTCGTTTTACCCGTTTGACGTGTATGATGTACGACGACGGCAAGGACCGGTGGTCGCCGGTGGCCGAATCCTTCCGAAGACAGAGACGGTTTTTTATTGGTAAAGCGAAAATGCTATTTTTTTTTTTTTTTAATTTTATTGCCAACTAGTCGGTTTTGACATTAAAATTTTCCTCGGGTCCGTAAATCATTTCGGGCGGCTTTAAATTTTTTTTATTATTTATTACTTACACCGAACAGAGCGGCTCGCGCGCCCACCCCACGCGTTATTTCGGTACGAACGTTGGTTTTAAATAACTATATGTACAGATGTGCACCGTGCCATACGCCAAAGCGGCCACCGATTTTATGTGGGATTCCCGCCGTCCACAGAGGTACCCCAGTCGTGCGTTATGGACTGGCGGGTGGTAAACTTTGACGAGGGTACCCGTGTTGACGGCGGGAATCCCGCGTTAAATCGGTGGCCGTTTTTTGTGTGTACAACAGCACCGCTTAGTTGTATATTTTAAAAACTAACCGTATGAGTTATATATTATTGGCGCAGAATATTCAACCCCCACACGAGGAAGAACTACCCCCGCATGATATTCGTATACCTACCGCTTTGCATCGCATGTGTGTTTTTTTTTTTGGTAATTGGAGCACTCTCGACTGATTTACTTAAATGTTGCGCAATAAGAATGTATTACATTTATCGTAATGACACGCCGGGCGTAGGCAGAAGCAGCACTCGGAAAGGAATACCTCTATCGGTCCATCGCACATCATCCGTCAAGACTTCGGATGTCACAATATAGGAAAACTATTTTTATCTTTAAATCGTTCTTTTTTTTCCCACCCGTTTGTTTGTTTGTTTGTTAACGAACCGAGAGTTTCTCTATTTTAATATTTATAAGGTCGTTATACAGTCGAACACTTTAAACGTGGTGTTGCCTATAACGCGCAACCGCTGCCCGACGTCCGTTTGCGTCGATCCAAGTCTGACAAGCTTGTTATTCATAATAATCGTCGATTTTTTTTACAATATTATTATCATTCGTCTGTTATACGGTTTTGGTGTAAACCCATATTTAAACACAGCCCACACACCTATGATGGTGCAACAACACCGCGTGCGTTAATTACAAGTGAATTTTGATTATTTGTCGTGTAGGTATTTTTTTATTATGTAAAAAAAAAATTAATTTACGCAATTAGCCGGAACGCGGCCGTCGGTGTTGTCTTTTAAATGTTTTCTAAATTTAAAACGCTGAAATGGACAGCCAGACGTTTGTGATGTTTGCCAATATGTTAACACTTTATTTTTTTTTTTTTGCGTTTTGATAGATCCTCTCGCCTTTGCACGATGAAACATATTTTTTCGTTATTTCAAAATTAACGTTTTATGTTTAACAATATTATAGTTTTAAAACTTTGGTTTTGAAAATCCCAAACGTTATTCTCTGTCCGGCTCAACTTGTACAATAAAAAACCAAAAAAACAATTTTCCTCCTCTTCAATGGCACCTATCCACTCCCAAAAACGTATCACTCCTCCTTATCTCTTAATGCCATTCCTTATCTGTTATCACTCCTTATCTCTACCATCCTTTCTTATATCGTATTATAAATCAATAATAGATAGAACATTTTAAATATCGAAGCCATATATAAATATAATAGATTATCATTTAACGATATATTTTCCATCTGTGTTTTGGTTAAGTTATACTTAAAAGGCCAAGAGTGGTTTTATTCCTACATAAGGAATCCTCAATATTTTACTAATAATTATAAAGCGTAAACTCATCTCTAAACTTATTTTTGGCAAAAAATTGCTTATACTGACCTAAATATGGTTTGTACGTAATAATAAAGTTATTAATTTGTACAAAAGATATTTTACATTCGTGTAAAATTACCTTCACTTGACCTTAAGACGTGTTAATCCCCTGAAAACATGGTGACTTGTGCATATAAAAATGTATAATGAATTAACAAGTACAGTAGTATAATATCCATAGTCATGTTTTGTTCAATTAACACTGGAAACGATGCGACATTTTTAAGTTCACCGCATAGTTGGCAGTCCAAGCGCAATAATTATCGATTGTGATAATAACATTAACAAAATCTATTCAAAGCACTTGACTAGGGTCTTATTGGCAAATGGCAGATTTCGATTTACATAAAATTGATTATTTGAAATTATCTGGTTTTTTTTTTATATTAACAGGAATTATTTTCGGTTTACATTTCAATGTTAAACATTTTTTTCTGTATGGCCACATTGCCAAAGATTAAAATAACATATTATGCCAAGTTACACGGTTAGGAATGTACAAAAACTTAACGGCCGCCATTGAACATTTTCTTACACGTGTTTGTTTACATTCATTTGGTGCGCAATCAGGAAGACGCAGCACTGAGGTTTAAAAAAAAAATGAATTGGCTATAAATTAGAATAATATAATGACTACTATAAAATGACCAGACTCGAATTCTGAGCGAACGGAAACGAATAAATCTAAAAATAATAGAATTTGTTTTCTTCAAATTAACCCGACGGAAAAAAAATTGTGCATGAGATAATTATTGCTTATGCCAGGTTGCACAAACAAAATAATAAATTTAAATCTTCTTCTTGAACACGTATTTGACCTCATCTCAACGTTTTTTATACTTAGGCGCAATTCTAGGACTTCTAGAATGAAATTTAGAATACACATGAGTCTAATACGTATCTTTGATACACTAAAAAATTGTAAAATGTATCCAAACATTTATTATGTTCTTTTTAAAAAGTATGAGTGCAAAGTTTTTCGTTTTTTGTATTTTTTGTCGTAATTTTAGGACTTAAGCGTTAATATTATTATATTTTAAAAGGATGACGATTTCTTAGAACACTGGCAGAAATGTATTATTTAGAGTCTGCCCACGCTTTATAAGAATCGTACTTAACTTAAAGTGTACATTTTTAAAGCTAATAATTGTTAATCCCCGACCATTTCTAACACACGATAACTAATAATCTGTGGTAAAACAACAAATTATTTAATCGCTAGAAGGGAGGGGAAGCTGAAAAGAGATGATAAGATAGAGGATAAGATAGGGTTGGGACTGATAAGAGTTAATAAATAAATTATAATACTCGGTTGATAATAATATTATGATAAGGGGTTATGAGCTGATGACTTATAGATAAAAAAGAAACGTTATCACTCTTTGACGTTTTAAAACTTAACCCAAACTTCTACATTATGGTTTTGAAAAAAAAAATTCTTTTAAAAAAAAAAAAATCATGATTACATTGTTTGTGCTTAGAAGAAGTGAAAACCTTTTTTTTACCTTCCACTCTCACCTCACTTTCTCCTTTACCTTTCTCCTTACTTCCATCCCCTTCGACCCTCCCTTAATTTCCCTTCCACTGCCCCTCACCTCGCCATTCCTTCTACCCCTGTTCTTTCATCCCTTCCATTATTTTCTCTCTTACACTACCCTCACTTTCTCTTTTTTGCCCCTCTCTCTCTCTTCTGCCTCCTTATTCCCACTTTCCGGTAGACCCCCTGCCTCTCAAAACAGCCACTATTAAACTGTATCTTATCACTAATCTACTATCACTGATCCTCACTTTTCCTTTTTCTCCGCTTCCCTCTCTTCTGCTCACTTCCCTCGCTAATCTAGCCTTCCGGTGTCGTGATGACGCCCCAGCTCAAAAACATATCCATGTTAAAAAATGGTCTTACTGTCCAAAACATTTTTTGTTTTACCGGTTTTTATAATGTGTAATATGTTTTTTTATCGTTGTATAGATGGATATATATATATGCTAATGGTTTTTTCGTCGTGGTTTGTTACAGAAAGATTTCGACGAAGAGTGTGTGTTCAACGAGATGATCGGACAACACCACTACAACCATTACACGTCGGTCAGGTACACCAACGACCGGCGGACGCTGTACTTGGCGCTGAACAAGCACGGGACGCCGCGCAAGGTGCAGGTCAAAGCCAACGCGACGATGGGCAAACTGTCCACGTACACGCGCGTGCTCACCCAGCCGGTGCCCGTGAAGCGGGTGGAAGAGTTGCTGGCGTCCCGCAAGCCGGTGGGCGAGTGGCCAGCGCACGGACTGCGGCACCACCACGTGTGTCCGCCGCACATCGGGCCGCCCACCGCCAAACACCGTCCGGACAGACAGCGCAAGTGTTCCGACGGCAAAACGGGAGACGGCGGCGCCGGCCGACACAAGAAGACGGACGAGAGCCAGGGCGGTGGCGGCGGCGGCAACGCCTGGAACAGAGAGGACGAAGACTGCAAGAGAAACCGGTGCGACAACGTGAGCCACAGGAAAGTGGACACGGCCGGCCGGACAAAAAAGAAGACCGGCGCGTCCGGCAAAAAGGCCGGCGGCGGCGCAAAGGGCAAGGGCAAAACGAAGAAAACCGAACCGTCCGAACCGCCCGCGCCGCCGCCGCCGCCCGAACCGGTCGCGGTCCAAGCGGCTGTTACCACGGTCGCGGTACAAGCGGCGGTTACCACGATGGCGGCACCGCAGCAACAGGACGACGACGCGGACGCGGACGCGCCCGTCACAGCTCCGTCAGACGAGTTCCTAGGCTCTAACGAGAATTAGATTCATTATTATTATTTACCTGTATTGCTTGATTATGTTTTTCTATTTATGTATAATTTTTTTTAGAATCTAATTTCACTTGAAAACGGCTTTTAAAAAAAAAAAAACCACCCACCGTTTTACAAATTGGACAAATCACAGTACTATAACATAGGTACTCAATTTATACGAGATTTCACGAGGTCAGCTAAAGTTGGCGGCACTGTTTCAAAATAAAAACCCATCAGCTCATTTACAACATAATAATATTATTTTAACCATAACACGATGTAGTATTAACGTTAAACGGGTTGTTTTTGTTCGACGAACGTTCAGTATTTTTTTTTTGGAATCGCTCATACTATTGATTTTAAAATGTACATACAGAAAAGCCATTCAATACACAAGAACGGCCACCAATTTTGAAATTCCCGCCATCAACAGAGGTACCCTCTTGGCTCTTCATAGTTCATGGAGGGCGGGAATCCCCATAAAATGGTCGCCGTTTTTGTGTATAACTGATAAGACCGCTTAGTTGTATATTTTAAAACCAATGCTCGTCCTACAATATTATTATTAAGGTAACACAGACTCCTTGCCGTCGAAACTATGGCGTTTAAAGTATTATTATAGTGTTAGGCCAAATATTAAAAACGCGTCACCGACAACCATTTGCTTTTTTCCTCCCCGCTTAAGACAAACTTTTATTAAACTTTACCATAATGCTTACACTTTTTTTTTTGAACGATTAAAAATGTGTTTACATAATTCCAAATCAAAATAGAAACGCGTTGTTAAAAAAAAAAATTAGGCCTCGAAACTCGGATGCGCCCAAACAGCTAAACCGTAATAAACAAATTGAACTACTTTTTTTTTTTTGTCATTACCAAGTAGGTGTTATTTTAAGTATCCTACATATATACAATAATATATACTGCACTGTACACATTTTATATAATATCTTTGGCCACAGGTCGAACGGTGATGATAACAAAATTGGATGTTTTTTTTTTATCCACAAAAACGTCATTGCTTTTCATAACGTTTTTTTAAACGCAAATATAATAAAGAAAAAAATACCTAATTTTTCACTATTTACAACCGTTTGACCCGTTCACATTGGTAGCGCTCTAATATCTTTTTTAGTCGTTGTATGTTTTTTTTTTTTAACGTGCCTGATTAGTTTGATAATTTGTATAGTTATTTTCGTGCTACGATATTTTGTAATATTTTTTATTATTATATTTATTAATTTCATAACTTATTTATTGTTGCTCGCCCGCAACAAAAAAACAACACTATTTGGAGAAAATGTTATTTTAACAAAAGCTAACCAATTGATTATAAACATTTTTAAAAAAATGGAACATTTTCAAGTCTTCGATTAAGACCCACAAATCGTCATTTTAATCTTTTTACTTTTACACTTTTTGCTATTTCATTTTGAATAATGTAACATTGCATTTCTCGTTTTATTTGAACGATGTCAACCATCTCATCTTATTGTAAATGTTTATAATATTTGCGTTATAAACGCTTAGTATTCGTTTATTACAGAAGTACACACGTCATATTTATTATTTATTACAATTATTACTACTACATAATAGACTCCGTGCATTATTTGTACTTATTTAACGACAATGTATGTAAACTGCTACCGTTTTGTAAGTTCCCAAAATAGTATTGTGTTAAAAAAAAAACTAACGAACGAGATTCAGTCAATTTTTTTTTTTTTACTTGTAAATATATAACTATATATTTTTGTAAATAAACGCCAGTATTCGCGTATGCGAAAAGAATTGTTTTTTTTTATTATCTCTTAAAAAATTCCTTTCGTTGACTTCCTTTTTTTTCAGGACATTTTTGTTTTCAAATATATTTACCCGAGTAGCTAATGTGCTGATATTATTATGGTAAATATCCAAAAAAAATTCACAAGCGATACTGACAGTGAAACAGTTGAACATTTAACGGTAAATGATTTAAAAAATTATTCAATTTTTACAAATTAACAGCAATATTCTACGTTTTTAGTACTAAATTTAATATGGTGTGTTAATAATAAAAAATGTTCCAAAGTTATTATCGCTCAAAGAAAGCGTGTACATAATATTAAAGCCGATTTCTGAAAGAACTACTTTGAAATGTTGTGCAAACAAACTGACACAGAATAAAACATACGATTATTAGGCAACATAATTAAAGAATAAATTAAGTTCTTGTTATAAATTTAAATAATGATAATATATAATATAGTAAAACTCCCACAGATAAGGTTTTTTTTTTATATTTTTTTTTCCTATTGACCGATTTACTCGTGTAGCACCACTTTTAGATCCAAAATCGTATGCAGAGGATAGAGTGATGGGTCAAAAGTAGAAAAAGTCAAATCGAAATTTAAAAATTTGTTTTTCGCATATTATTTTAGCAGATTTCGAGATTTGCGCATATTTTTTAGTATTTTCAATATTTGCATTTTTTACACTTTGTTTATCTAAAAGTACCAACAAAATAATGACATTATAGAAGAATTTTGTATTTTTAAAAGAATAGAGAATTATAGTAAAAAATAAATTAACATTTCAAATGAAAAATAAATAAATCAAAGATTTCAATTTTTTTAAATGTTTTCATTTTCAAACAAATATTTATCTAACTTGTAGCTAAAATTAGAATTTATAAGACCTTTATATAAATAGAATAACCATGTATATATCAAATTCTAATTTTGGCGGTCGCACATCTATTATAGGCATATGTATAAAAGTTATTTCCTTATATTATTTTGCTTAAAAAAAAAAAAATAATATAATGTATAGGTAATAGTGGTAAATTATACAGCTTTGACAAAAATGGATATTTTTATTAATCAAAATCTAAAATGTGTATGTATTAATACTTTAAACGTGGTCCATCGATTTCAAAAATATGGGCTTAATATTTTTATATTATATTTTAGTTCTAAGAAGAAAAAAAACGTGACACTAATTAAGGATGAATTTAAATTTAGGAGTTTTTTTCAGTCATAATTTAGTATAGAATATTTAAATTTGTTTGGAATTATTTTAATTTAAGTATTAATAGGTAATTCGATAGCAGGTTCACAAAATCATAAATGAATAATATTTAACATGGGGAATTCACGATTTTCCACCGAGAACATCTAGGTTGTGAACGGTATTACTTTTCAAGGTAAAAAAATAATAATTACAATAAATATATATTTTATATTTTTAATTCTGACCATTCGTTGTTCGACTATAGCCGGTAAACTAGTGTTTATCCTTTATACTATAATCCTAAATCTCTGTTTTATCTATTACGAATTACGATGGAATATCTATGTTCAATATGTATGTCAGTGTATATTATTGTACTCGATGCGCTTTTTGAAAAAAAAAAAAAAACCGATAATAAAGATGGACTTTGATACGTACCTCATAGGTTTAACCGGTGGCAATATGTACCGCGTACACGGATCTCGGTGTCTATAAATCCATAATCATGATGACAATCTGATGATAATCGTAAGAAATTATAATCATAAGAATGAGATACATAGTAATGGTTTACACGTGGACACGGTTAAAAAAAATGAGTATAACCATTGTCAAACACTACAAGTCGAATAAATATGTGTTAAGTACAAAGAATTTAGAATACAAGTTTGGTCCTATCTAAATCAGATATCGGTCGGAAAATGATTCTACCCCGTACAAATTTGGAGCTATAATTTGACTATTTTTTATACAGAAAGGGAAAAATACATTTTATAAAACACCCGCATCAGATGGATCACTCTGTATAGAAACGAAATCTGTGACGTCGCCTGAACTCGATTTGCCGGTGGCGTTTCCCAAAGACGACGTAACCGATAATATAGGCTGACGTGGTATTTAATGTATGTATATATATCAGTACACATGTGTGTGTAATGTAAAAAAAAAAATAATAATAATGATAAAAAAAAAACCGCATGTAATAAGACGGCGGCAACGATTTTTGCACACATGTCGCCAATCACGTATACACTAACTGTCTGCCAAACGGATTGCAGTGACGTATAATGTGATTATAATATCATTCATCCGCCTGTTCTCGAGGTGATCGTCGCCGTTACCGGTCGATCAATGATCGTATAATATAGATCACGTTATAATAACCTTCGGGCGTGGTCCACAATAGTCCACGGCGTCGACGATAACCCGAAAATCTGGATTTCCCCTTATCAAACGTACCTAATCGGGGCAAAAATGTAAAAAGTTCATATCCTTCCCTTCAAAATCGAAAAAAACTCCCAACCAATTACCGCGCTCTAAAACTTAAAAATAGCCGAATTAGTTCCAGATTTGGATGGAATATTTTTTAGCACTACCCATAAACGTTGACAAACCAAAAAAAATATCATAAACTTATTTCGCTTATTTAGGTGAAGTTTTAGTACTTAAGGTCTGGAAATTTGATCTAGAATAATATAGTATATCTTAAAATCTTTTAATACCAATCATATTATTTAACTATTTAGGTATAACAATTTAAAATTTAAAAAACTAATAGTCACAATTTCGTACATATGTATTTATTATTTTGTTATTTATAAATGTCCACGGAAAAAATGGCAAATTGATACATAAAACTTTAAAGATTTTTTAGATTTATCAAGATAAAAATTAAAATTAAACATATAATTTGTATTGTATTATAATAATTATACTTAATTCTCGAGTTTGCATATTTGTGAAACGATCACACGTCTGCTAAATTCGTAGAGCTCACATTAATTATAACATTTTAAAAGAAACATTCTCTCGATCCCATAATCTTTCAACTCGATAAAACGAAACAAGTTTAATAAAGCCACTTGTGTTTTTTTATTTAATGATTAGTTAACCTAGAGGCTATTAAATAGACTTCGGACATCAAATGGTCGTAAAATACTTAATCAAATAGCCTTAAACAACATCGAAATTGACGGTCGGAACAAGTGGGATTAAAAAGCCATAAAATAAATGGGTGGCGGTTTAGTAGCTAAGGATTTATAAACGGCACTATTCATACCCATACACAATATATATATATATATATATATTGTAATGACTAGCTGGAGTTGTATTAGAAAACGTGTTCGTATAAACGCTATATTAAGTTTTTTCGAATTGCAATTTTGTTAACATTTTTGCCTTGTTTTTTTCACAACAGTACGTTTACTCATTGGGTTTAAAGTGTGCTGACGAATATTACTTAGTGGGTATGGTCAGTATTTATATTGTTAATTGTATTATGGTAGTCAATTATACTGTGTCCACTGTGTTTTTTTCAGTAATATGTAACACCACACCAGTGTTTCGGTTTCAATGAATACTCGTTAATTATTTACTATAGTAAAAAAAAAACACCAGCAATTTATAATTATGCTGCGTTCAATACTCGTATGGAAACGAAATATTAATAATTGCCATTGAAAAATAACATAAATAACATATGAGTGGACTGCTGGGAAGTTGGTTAACTTCTTCGATGAAAATATCAACTCGTTAATGTCAATCTTTTTTGGTTTTTATATACTCTAACTTATATCTAATATATGACAGAATAATATTATGGATAGAGGACACCTTATAGTGATCGTTTTTCCATGGTTAATGTTTTGTAGTTGGTAACCGATTATTGTAGTATTTTAATTAGTCAATCTGTGATTGTCACCGATCTTCAAGTCACAACACAACTTTCTTTTAAATATGGAAAAAAAGCGTTTCAGCAACTTACATTTTGTATGCCGGTGATTTTTATGTCACACCCAAAAAAATTACTATATTAGAACAGTTTTACTACGAATCAACCAAACATTGTAAGCCACTAAAAAAATCCAAACAATAGTTTTGCTAAAGGTTTAATGTCCTTTATAGAATTACCGTAAATAGGTCAAGTCAATCATTTTACAAACATAATATAGCACCCCACTCTAGAACTACCTTCAGTCTAAGGTCTAATTTTCAGACTTTAAGTCATAAAACTACACTCAAAAAAGGGGAATAAAGAAAAAGTTTTTATTTTTTTGGTTTATCGATACTTAAACTATTTCTTAATAAAAGCTATAGTTCGCCATAATATTAAGTTTAATACATATTTAATATAAAAAATAGAATCGGTTCCCGAAGCTAACACGCCATATCGATTTCAAACCTAGCAATTAAACAAAATTTTTTTTTTACATAGAAGTACATTTTAAGATAAGAAAACAATAATAGAAATGCAGTTGGCGCCGACTTCAAAACAATAATTCCTAATAGAGATAATTAAGCGCTTCCCAGAAGTAACTCGAACTGGCGTCTGAATCATATTTGACGTTTATGAAAGACTTCGTTTTCGAATATAGGTTGAAAAATAATTAATTAAAACATCCAAATGATCAGTTATAAGAATGAATAAATACTAAGTAAAAATGTTGACATAATGACTCGGTTTCGTTATTGTCTACAAAGTATGTAAAAAAATATATATATATTTATGTGGTCAAAAGGATTAGATAATGTTTTTAATATTTGACAAATGAGCTTAAAAGTATTTTTTGTTACAAATTTGAAATTGCCAATATGTAATACATTGAAAAATAGTAGCTTTTGTGACCTGTATATATAATAGAGTCAAACTCGTTCAATGTAAATGTATTCACCTTTGAATTTTAACATAAGTAAGACCATCAAAACTCATTTCGAAAAATGAGTTTTGACCCGAACATTAAAAGATATTAATTATTATTTTAACCCATTATGAACAATTTTGTGAAAAAACCATTAACTTATAAAAATTACATTTTAATATTAAAAATATTATATTAGTTAACTGTAGTCTGTATTCATTTATTTATTACGTCGTTTATGATGATGTTGTAAACAATTATTAAAGTATACCTACTAAAAAATATTTATTTATTTCGTCATAATATACTCCATTAGTGACATCTAACGGTAGAGAATGCAACAATTATACATTTTTTATCAAATACCAAAATTGTCAATACTGTTATCAATCATTTATCATTGTTCGAGTTTCTACATTTTATAATTTTTCATAATAATTAATCAAAGTTTAACTTTATTTACACTACCAATTTTCAATCATATTTCCAATGTTATTACGATAAATGTAATATACAATAAAAATGGTTTGTCGCTTGTAACGTAGTAAATAAATTATTATCGTTAGTTCATAATATTTATTTTTTCGCAATTATGAATTGCACAAAAGTTTTGAGATGCAGTTCACAATTAACCAAACTACAAAAAGTGTACAGTTTTTCTGCTAACCGAAGATTCGCTACCAAAACTAGTTCACTGCAACAATGGTCAAAAGCTATTGGAGTTTCCGCAGTGGGAGTTCTAAGCGCATTAGCCTATTACGGAATCTCTTCTAATCCAACTGTTCTTGCGTATACCAAAAGAAAGGTAAAAACTTTACTACATATAGTAATCTAATTCATAACTCTTGATGGTATCGGTTAAACATACGTAGACAGGCTATGTCGTATACTCTGATCCGATATTGATAACAAATACACGCAACATATGTATGTTTAAATTTTATTAAGTACATAGTTGTGTTAGAAATCAGGTCAGCAAAAGCATATCTTTATCTATGACAACAGTTTACAGAATACAAATCAAACTAATTATAGTTTGTGTACAAATTTGGGACGGTTCTAAATTGTAAGTAAAAAAATTAACTTTAAATTGTCGCAAAACAATTTTAAGTAGTTATTACTTGTTTTAAGTTTTTTTTCCATTCAACTACATATAACAAGCATCTAAACCTTGTATGAAAGTAATTTTTAGTTGATACATTTTTTTCTTCTATTTTGAGTTTTTACTGTTGAAATGGGGGTGCCTTTATAACAAGTTAAGGTATTTTTCACAAAGCTGTAACAAAAACTTAGTTTCAATTTAAATAATTCTTTTTAAATTGTAAACAACATTCTTTACTTTCAAGCAATATTATATGTACACAATTTAATTTCTACGTCAATTTTTTTACTGAAAAAACAATATTTTTTATTCTGATTATTGTACAATAAATTTGTCTGCATCCTCCATGCAAATTGTCAATTGTTAGTCAATAGTTGATATCTTAATATATGTTTTGTGTAACAAAATGACTCTTGAAAAATAATATTTTGCTGGATTTCTTTCTTACACTGCCTGCAGAATATTTTAATTCTGTATTTTTCTAGTTGTTTATTTTAACTTCTATGAACAAATAACTTATAGTAATTATTTAATAAAACAAGAATATTGTTGAAATTGTACTTACCTTTTATTAATTGACATAAAATAATGATATTTTAAAATAAATAGCTGAAATTATTTAACTACCAGAACTTTTGTAATGTAAATGTTGAAATATACTATATAGGTCGACTTATAAAAAATGGATATATAGTAGTTACACTTGTACGCTTTTGTTATAAGCATTTATCCAATACTTCACATTATCCTGTTTTTGTAAAATAATTAATATATTGCTTTGTATGAGTCAAAACCAAGTTTGAGGTTACAGTTTTTTGACCATATTGTTATACTAGAAGTCAGTAGAACAATCATTTTACAAACATTTATTTACTTTGTTGAAAACTAACACTTGTATCGATTACAACATAAAAAGTTTGTTTTCTAGTACAAAATATCTTGGTAGATTTAAGTTTTTGGTACCTATTCAGTTATCTCCCTCTTGGTATAAAACCCAAATTTCGTCCAAGGATTATTTCGCATGGTTTTAAACTAAATAAAAAAAAAAAAATGTTTAATTTGTAGACTTCTACAAGAAAGTTTTAAAAATATAAGTAGTAATATTTTCGAAAATTCATGTTTTCTTCTCAACATTTGATTTTAATACTATAGGACTATACAACCTAAGCGTGGAGAAATAAATTCTAATAAGTTTGGTTTATTCTTTTTGTAATTTGAAAGATGATTTGTTAAATATTGTGCTAGTCTAAAACCACAGGTTTTGGCGCGAATCCGAATGTACATTACTGGTTACCGCTCTGGTAACTGGTTAAGTATACTCATTTTATTATACAAATTACAGTAAAATACAGTTACCGAATGTTACTGTAAGGAAAGTATAGATGAGCTAATGTACTTAAATTGTTGTTTACATAACAATTATTTACATGTTACAATATAAGTATTATCTTATTATAAAAATATGCAGGGTACTACTGTGGTAACTTACACAAACCCACCATTTGGTTAGGCACAATAGAGTCAAAACAGTTTTGAATATTTTTAAAAATTTATATTTTATTAAATTTTGATTTTTTTTAAACCCCCAATAGAAATACAGAGAAAAATACGAAATCAGTATTCAGTACGTCGAAAACATATTTTTTATAAAACCGTGAAAGGGTGCCTAGTGTTGAAATAGCCGACAAAAACGGTCTGTTGTGTAGAGCACACCTATAACGGCCATTTATAACACTTGATCTTATCTAATCTTAAACCGGGTAACATGGCACCTACTAGGTAGGTATCTTCTTAGCTCATCTTGTCCCTTGCATACATTGTTTATGTCTATTTACATGCATTTTAAAACAAAAAAAAAGCTTACTACTCGAGACACACGTTTAAAAATATCGCTCGACGAAAAGCGTCAAGTTGATTTATCGAAGACCATAATGTGATGTACGATTTTTCTTTCGATATTTATTATATTATAGACATTAAATCCGGATTGAGAAAAACGAGTGACTGTTCTTATATTTTCCTAAAAATCGCACCGTCTATTTATATGATTTATAGTCGAGATTTAACAAATTCCCTCTAACAAATACTTTGTGTATTTAAAATGTCAATGTTCGATAAGCAACCAAATCCTCTTTAAGATTATTATATTATATATATATATGAGTATATAAGATTTTTTCTAAAGAAATGCTATAATACACATTACACATAATTCAAATTGTGTTATAATTGTTTAAATGTGTGTGGTCTCACAAAGTTTAGCTTAAAAAATAAAGTATAGTACATACTTAAATGTTAATCCAAACTGGCGAGAACGGCTTTTAAAGACATAATAAATAACTTATGATTTTGCAATCGTAAATTTATGGGTTTAATATTTTGTAATATATTTTTGTATCTAAGTATTCCCTTCAGCTCACCGAACATGTAATATAAAAAAATAAATAATAGTTATGTTAGGTGCAAGATATTTTCTGATATATTGATAGTTTATAATGAAAAATGAATCAATCGTTAAAAAAAAAGTTTTTACCTCCACATCGAAGCTAATATTTAAAAAAACTATAAATTAAGGACGAATATTGAGTACTTGTTTGGTTAGATTTAAATACAAATAGTAATACAAAATTATGAGAGTGTATTTATTGTTTTTTAATTAAAATATAAAACTGATTTTGCAATATGTTATGAAAAAATTAAATTTGAACAGTAAAAGAATTAAATTACCTTATTTCCTCACCTTGAAAAATTCTAAAAAAAAAAACCAATGATTCACTTTTAAATATAGACTAACTTCGAATATTGAAAAATACGTTATAGTGTGTCGTAATTTTGAGTTGAAAATTGTGTACATTTTTTTGGGTTTGATTTTTTAGGGAGAAAGGGTGATTTTATAAAAAATTGTTGAACCAATAAAATATGTTTCTGGTACGATTTCTGATCTGCACACTTAGTGACGAAATCGGTTCAGCGGTTTAGAAAATATCGCGGGCCAAGATTTAATAATACCACATCGTTGCAAAAACAATACCTTCTCAGCTATGCATCAAAGCCAAAACACACGCTATATTTGAAACACTGTCCACCCCTGTTAATACACTGTAGCAATATTGTAAATTATAGTTTAAATAAAATATACTCTACCGGTCGCGTCTCGTCGCTATTCAATGTATATAATATAATATATTGTGCATTGATGCACATGATGATTATTTTTATAGTTTTCCGGATACGATCTCCGGTGCCACGAGACCGTAAATATACGACGATTGCTTAATATTTTCAACTGTTCACTACTAGTATACAAACTAAATTATAATATGCCGTTGAATCCCTCAACGATGAAACACCCTTTTGTTGTCCTTAATAGTCTTGATGTGTCCGCGATAGTCGTTCCTAACAGCCCATTAGATTTGTGACGGTCGTGTGAAAGCAAACATCACGTACAATGTTCTGACAAGGTGATTAATTGTTTAATCAATCTCTGAATATAAAGGGGGTAAAGTAAAAATATACTAATTTTAAACGCTGGAGGGATAGTTTACCCTCCACCTACATCTCAAATATTATCCTAATTTAAATGTACTATTTTTAAAACATACACTTGTGTTACTTAACCTCCTTGTAGTTATTTAACGTTGAAAGGTTCTAATGATAAAAAAATATATACATTTCCAAGAAATCTATAAAGATAGATGGTCCATGTGAAAAAATTTGTCTTTCGACGTAGGCAATCCGAAATGACCATACATCCCACATCTGGGAAATACTGTATTATACATATAAATGTAAAAACTGAACGTACTTGATGAGTAATGGTTTTTGTGTGACAATATATTATGTTCTCTAATGGTTAAACTTTGTTGCTGTTTTTTATAAATACAATAAAATATTTTCTTTGAGTTTAGTGAATAATTTACTTATTTTCTAATTTGACTTATTTTCGTTCTAAAATCATCACAGAACGAGTGAAACGCATTTTGCGCATGTTTTAACGCTAAAAAATTAAGTATATAGCGTCGTCTTGACTATTTTTCACTTACACTTAATTTAATATCCTTATAAGAATATTTTGTTTTATTTTGAAAAAACTATTATAAATATACATTGGTCACTTTTATTCTTTAATGTTGAAAAAATAATAATATTAATTTTTTAAATACCCAATTTCAGAGAGGCGATGACGAATACTTGGCTGGATTGCACTTGACAACGCGCGAGAAGCGGTTCATTAAATTTGCATCTGTCGAATACAATGGGCAACTCTACATGACTCCACAAGACTTTTTGGAATCGTTTGTCGACGAACAGCCTCGAGGTACTTACCGGCCATTTATGCGATATTATCAGTTATCAGACTTAACGGGGGCACCTGGTGTAACAAGCTCGAATTAGGTAAATTTTAAGCAATTCCCGGCCAAAACATAAAATCGGACTTTTTTTTTACCCCCTAAGTATGTACAAGCGGCGGGCTAGTTGAGTACTTTTCTTTTGAAACTTGTAATCGACCACGGCCGTCTCAAATTTATATTTTCCGAATTATTTTCATGCGCGAGTAATGATCAATTGGCGTTTATATTTTTCAACAGACCGATTGAAAAGACACATGCTTTCGGATAGCGATTTGGAAGAAATGCGAAAGAAAATTCCTGCGTTGAAAAAAGGATCGTCGCAACTTTTCCGTTCGCTGCGGGATAAAGGCATTATATCGTACACGGAATATTTGTTTTTACTGTCGGTATTGACCAGTGAGTTTAATTATCATAGTAGTGGATAAAAAATAAGAATATTGTTTTTGAAACTTATTATCATTATCTCATTTTTTTTAGAACCTCAAAGCGGTTTTCGCATAGCGTTCAATATGTTCGACACGGACGGCAATCACAAAGTGGATAAAAATGAATTTTTGGTGGTAAGACGTATTGTTTTGAATGAAACAACAAATGATAGTTAGTTTTTTCAGGCGCTTGAATCGGTGTTCGAATTGTACTGTACAAATATGCAGCTTAAATATTAGTTGTAAAAAATCTTCGACGAGCGTGTCGTTTGGCCGTTTTACCTTTTTTTTTTTTTTGCAAAAAATACTTCAAAACGTACTTTGAAGACGATATTATTTTTGAAAAAATATGGTCTTATTAATATTATGATTTCAGCAAGTTTTCATCGGACCAAGTTAAATGTGCTGTATTATTTTAAACATTTAACTAGTGTATTGCTCCAATTCGAACACCAATAAAAACTTACAAACGAGTGTCCGGGTAAAAGTTACTGGCCGACATTTTGTTCCTGAACAGAAATATGTATTTTTCATAATATATTTATACCCGAGAGTTAATTATTGAAAAAATGATTGTAAATTATTTACCAAAAACAAAAATAAATTATTATCAATTTAATTTATTTTTAATCAAATCTTGAGATGAGAAAAATAGAAGAAAATCGAATAAATATCAGGAACTTTTTCCGGACGCTTGCTGACCTATGCAAACATATAGATTATTATTACCTATTTTTTTTTTTAATTTCCTTATTATACATTAGTATAATTTTGTGTAGTGAATTTATTGTTTCATCGTTTCAATATATATTAATCGAATTTGTATTATTATCACGCAATATAATTTAGCTGTTACATAGTAATATCCTGCGACCTGCATGTTTATTTTTTATACATTTGCGTTTACATGTTTGTTCAGTTTCATGTGTACAAAAGCAAACTCTCCATTCGTGTGATCACATTATGCATGTTTGTTACATTATCAGACCTGGGAAATTTTATGTTGTTCAATCAATAAATAATAATTTGAAAATAATCTAAAAGTCAAAGTAAAATCACTTGCAATTAAACGCTTCGATGCGAATATGTAGGTGGTTGAAATACAAATTCCGACAAAAGCATTGCAATGACAATAATGTGCTTAAAATTGTACTTTTAGAATTAGAGTAGATAAGATTAGGGTTGATCGTTTAAATCGAAAATGTTTTTCTGATAACATTTTACTAAAATACAATTTTTTTCCGAAAAATTAAAGTAATAATTTTCAAGTACGATTTCTAGTTCCAACGATTTTTATTCAAATAAAATCACATCGTTGTAAAACCAATACCTTCTCAGTTTCGCATCGAGGCTATAATTCAAATTAATATATTATCTAATTGCAATTTTATTTCTAACGATTAGGCAAATATAGCATTACTACCTGATTAGTAATTATAAAAACAATATTTCCCAGGTATATTTTCTATTATCGGTATGTAGAGCAAGTATTACCTACCGTTATCATTATAATTTATTTTCATGCCGAATTTTTATTTTTTTTTATTTATATAAGAAAATATTTGTTTTGTTAATACAAAATTTGCAATTTCTTATGATTTTTTTTTAATTTTTGCAATTTCCAAATTAAATTTTGTATATTGTTAAGGTTAGAGCGCTAATACTCAGTGAACTGTTAATATGCAAATATCTTATTTTTACCGTCCGCAATTATTATTTTTGCAATGATGTTTTCCCACGCTTAATATATGTATTTATGAATGGGATATAGCAAGAACATTATATTATTATCATTATGAACACTGATCGGAATATTTTTCCAGTAATGGTTTTAACGAATGAGACGGATTGTGTTGCCATTATAATATGAATTGCGCTATATGTATGCGACGTGTTATTTTTTGATTGTATGGTCATGAATGGTTTTTTTTTTTAAATTATTTTTTGTTCTAAATTACTTCCCAATTTTACCATTTTGTTTTGTTTATTTATGTTTTATCAGATAACGAGGCTCGTAGCTGGAAAACCAGCCATCAGAATAGATCTAAGTAAACAGGCTAAGGAAATTGTGAGTGGGTTTGTTGCACTATAATTTGTCTTGCATTATAATAATATTATATACTTAATATATTATTTATAATTAATGTGCGGATAATGGGGTAGGTTATTGATGCTTTTCCGCCAAAACCGTGCGCGTACTTTACCCTTTTCCGCCAAAAATATTATAATTTTATTTAGTCATGACTTGCTTAGCAAGAGGTCAGGTCTTATAAATGTTTTAATGTTATGATAACATAATGAATTTAAAGTATAAAAGCCTGACTACTTTTTAATGGCTAATACCTATACAATTTTTTGTGAGAAAAGTAATCAGATGTAATCTTGTTTGGCAAAAAAGTGTAAAGTACGTTATTGGCGCAATCGCATCTTATCTCGTTTGGCGGAAAAGGGAAATCACAGAAAAAGCAAAGGTGATGGAATTTAAAAACATGTGTGATAAGTATTTGAAATTTGAATAATATTGCGATCGGTGTTATGGTACGTTACAGGTCTAACGATGAATAACATTAATACTAAAATGATAATGTTTTTAGGCTTTTTTTTTTTGTATACATAACCAATTGGAGGAACTGTTGGATCACACGATTTCCCCTAACTTAAGTGGAGCAAAGTGAGGGTTTACAACATAAATAACGTTCGTGAGCTTTTTTTATTTCACGCTAAATCTCCCCTCTCCGCCCCTCACTCTTCATAAAAAGTGATAAGAGATAAGGAGGGGTGATAAGAAATCAGTAGGGATGAAAATTTATAAGCATAGAATAACCAGAAAAGACACTTTTCAAGATTTACATGGGTTTTTATGGGGGACAGATTTGCTACACTTGCGAGCAAATTATAGTAGGCAGTATGTATAAAGATAATGTTATCATTTTTTTCTTATTTCTTATTTCCTAACCGGGAAATGTGTGAAATCAGTTTCGCCAGCAAAGAAGAACTTTTAATAATTGTCTATTTCTGGCTACACTAATTTGCTTGACAATTTTACCGGGTTCGAGAGTTCTCGTCGACCGTCTCTACTGGCTATTCTATGATATAAGTAGTAAAAGAGATAATAAGGTGTGATAAGAGACCATGAAAGGAGATAAGAGATGAGAAGGCATTTCTAGGACGGATGTGGATGGACCTTAGCCATAAAACATATTATTCATGTTAAAAACATTATCATGCTTTCACTTTTCTATATTTAGCTTAAAAATTATACTCTTACTTTATCTTCTTCGCTAATCAACTAATATATTTTAATTGTATTTAAAATGTCGATACTTATGATTTTGAAAAAAAAATGTTTAGCTATGCGTAACGTAATTTTTCGGTCTATATATTATCGTTTACAGATATTATATAATCGACACAATATTTTTGTTTACTATTATTTCAGGTGCGAGTTTTAATATATTGTGCTCTGTTTCGTGTTCGCAACGCCTTTTAAGTAAAATTTTGTTTTTTTTTTATTATTTAATTGACGCCGTCGCTATGAGTTATACAATTTTTTAAGTACTATTTATAGAAAAAATGATTTATATTCGCATGTCGTCATGTTCTTTTTATTGTTATTTAAAAATACTTGTTTTAACGCGAAATCTTTTTTTCCGCTATCGTGTTTCATTATGATAAAACACAAATTATATGAAGTACTTAGTATAGTAATTTTAGATACATTTACAAAACAATTGGATCAAAAATGGGCAAAATACTTTATAATAATTCTATTCAAATTTCAAATTAAAAATTACACATAGTAAAAAATTGTATAAAAGAGACCAATTTAAATCTATTCGGAATTTACATTTATTTTATGTAAATGTAAAATGCTTAAAATCCGTTTTTTTTCGATAAATAATTTTTTTTTTCATTCTCAAATAAAATTATTTTAAAATATAATTATTTTATTATCGAAAAACAAATTATCTCAGTTAATTTCAAATGTAATAAATAATAAATACAACGTTTATTTAAATAAAAATTTTTCGAATTTTAAATAATTGAAAAAAAAATAATTGTTATAACTAAAAGAATCTTATATTTTTGTTAAATATTCTAACATATTTTATTATAAAAATGATAAAAATATTTTAAATAATTAGAACACCAGACAAATGTAAGTATTTCTAAATAATAAACCACTAATATAAAATAAAATATCAAACAACAAAAATGTTGTTATAAATGATTCAAATGTTGTCTAAGCTCGAATGCTTAAATTACATTTTTGAAAACTATTGATTACTACGCTGTCGTCATTTTTGCTCTTAAATCTTTAAACTTCAGAGAATTTGGCTTAAACCTAAGTAACAATAAATGTATTAAAATATTGTTGTCAAGCTTAATTATTAATTTATTTGATAGAGTTTTGCGTTGTTTGTTGTCTGACCATCGGTATATAAGTTGAGAGGAAGGGGATTATAACAAATTATTTTAAACATAAAATCAGACTATTTATTTTGACATATCAGAAAAAAAAATTTGTTTTTAAATATTAATTTCATAGTTTACCACTTTGTGTAGTACTTATTTGGAAAACACATCAGTATAATTATTACGTCGAAATTGGACAAAAAGTTAAATATCAATTTCTACCATCCCACCACAGAAATTTCAATATCCTACTCAGCCTTTATATCTTTTTATGCTTACGTCTTGTACAACAAAAGCTCTAACTCGGTGCGAGAAAGAAGCTCTGCCCTATTATCCAAAATATTACCTATAATAATATAATACAATGACCCATTGATTATTTCATACGGTTATTGTGGTGGTAGTGGATATCTTATTGGCCTGGTCTGCGCTATTAAGGCTACGTTCGTCGATATTAACATTGATTATTTATAATTAATGGTATTATAACGTAGACATGTTTTTAACCTCCTGGGGGTCGATCCAAAATTTGCGTTACAAATTTTACGTTTGGTTTGGTAGTCTAGCTATTGGGTATGATAATGTGGTTGAGGAAAGTAGGGTAGTAAATGGGGAAAGTAAAGAAAGGGGTATGCCATTTACCACATCTGAAAAAATCGAGATTTTAGGCTAAATGTAGAAGCATGATAATGTTTTATATGAATATGTTTTATGGCTGGGAGGTCACTTCATAACTGACATGGATATGTCTTATAGCTGGATCATGGACATTTTTTCGTCACGTTTGATAAGAGATAACTGATAATATTAGATTGAACTCATTTATTTGATCGGATCCGTCTTATCACTGATCCCTTATCGGCTACTGATAGCTAGTGGTGAAAGGGAAGATGAATAAAAAGATTGGGAATTTATCAAATCTAAAAACATACCAATGTTTTCCCGTGCAGTGGAGAAAATGTACGATTTTTGCGTAACACTTTTCGGCAAGATCAAAATAGGTCCCGGATGTATTTTCCTATCTTTATCTCTTATCACCTTTCCTTATTAGCCCTCCTTATCTCTAATCCTCTCTACTCATAACTTATCACTTCTATGTATCTCTTATCACTCATCCTTATCTTACATCACTGTTCACCCCATCTTATGAAGGGGAGGGGGAATTAGCGTTTCGCAAAAAATGTCTCTCGAATTTTCTTAGTCGATCCCCAGGGCCCAGACTAAAAACATTATCATGTCGAAAACATATCCGTGATACAATGTCTTTTCGTAGAGCGGAAAATTTAGATTTTTTTTTTTGTTTTTCATCGTAACGTGGAAAATAAATATTAGATACCTACAACTCGTTATACGACGTGCCTTAAGCGTGGACCGGTGTTTTGTTGAGGGGGCTTTGTCATTATGAATGTGCCGTATTGCAGTTATCCCAATTGCACTTGAAAGAAGTACCGATCATCTACCGAACGCCGGACGAAGACGCTAACGGCATTATTCGAGCTGCTGATAGTTTGGTCGGTTGATTTGCATTTTTTTATTATATTTTTTATTACATTTAGATTAGATTAGATTTTTCGCTTTGCTTGTTTACGCCTTATATTAGTTACCTTATATTACTTACCTTTTTTTTTTTATTCTTCGGCTTGAGTAGTCAATTACATGTATGATGTACCAAAAAAAATGAAATAATAATAATGATTTTAAACAATAACTGTAACAATATTAATCCAAAAATTGAAATCGACGTACGCTTGTATAATAGTATAATAGGCGTTTATTTTTAATGATGATGCTTAGATGGAAAAAATCTTCAGTCAGTCTTGGAAAGACAAACACGGCGTGTCAATGGCCGACAAAGTGGATTCGCAAAACGTCGGTGTCGACGATTTCGTCGACGACGCTCAAGGATTGCAAAAGAAACATATGGTCGACACGACGTTGATTGTTCATTTTTTCGGCAAAAAAGGAGACAACGTTCTGGTCTACGAAGACTTCAGAAGGTATATTGTATTGGATTTAGACAGTCGGCGATTGAAACCGTTTGATTGTTGTTCACCGGTTTTGGATTTTTATCAAACAAAAATAACGCGTTATCATAGAAATCGGTTTTGGATTTGGTTAACCAAATCGGTTACAAAAAAAAATTGTGGGTCTTACTCTGGTTAATTGAACCGGTTACCAAAAACACAAACGGGTTTCCTCCGGTTTAATCGGGAAAAAAATATTCTTTACTTTTCGAATATGATTAAACAACACCGTTTATATATTTTATCGATTTAGGTTTTTAATAATATGCAAAAATAAGATAAAAACGGTATTTTAAATTAAAAGCAAAAAAAAAATAATTGTTTCCATAATAGAAATTTGACTTTTTATTTTTCGGTTTTAAACCCACATTTGTAATATCCGTTTATATTTAATAGCAAGTTAAAAAAAAGCGCCGTTTAAAGGTCACTGGGGAAATGGTCCACCGGATTATTTGGTCCATTTTGTACCTACTTCGAATAATTGAATATGAATTACATACCCCCACCTAATATATAATATTGTACTTTTTCTGCGTGTAACTAATATGCAAATAATAGACCTGAGCATGATTTAAATAATTTTTTATTCAACTAATTAGTAAAAATAAAAAAGGTTTTCAATAGATTGTATACAAACATTTTTTAAATAAAGATAACCCGAACAAAATCGTCTATTGGTAAGTAACTCTTGTACCTACAATTTAATATTATTATTTACCTGTTCATCAATTATTTGACTTACTGCGAATTTTGTTGGAAATTTTTTTTTTATAATCGTAATTTTGTAGTTTTTTTTTTAATTTTAATTTTTTATTCTATTATAAAGTTCCTAATCGATTTCCAACAGATTGTTCTCGACTAAAAAAAATATTCTTTTATTTAATAAGCAGTTTTCATCGAGGAACACTTAAAAAATATATATATATGTAACTATTATAAACACGGTGTATTGTCTATACAATTATCAATTATGTGTTTATATAAAATTCGTTAAAACCGGTTGTTAACATGATAATGTTTTTAGGCTGAGGTCGTTGACCAAATTAATTTACTCGTTTACTGGATTTGTTAAATAAAGCCTAAAACATTACACTTATAAATTTCTAGCTTTAGCTCAAAATCTCACAAATTTTAATTTAAAAAAATTGTTTTAAAAACGGTTTACAGTTTTATCGTTTTTGAGTTTGGTTTTTTTTTTTACCTATTTTAGAAATTCAACGGTACAGAATAGGTTTCATATTTGAAGAATTTTCAAAAAAATTGCTGTTTTGACCGGTTAAAACTGGTTTCAATCGCTGCGATTGGATTTAGTCGATTACTATTAAACATTAATTGTTGTTGTTAGATTTAAATAAAAAAATTTAAAAAACTCGTATGTTTATGATTGAAGATTTATGGAGAACTTGCAGACCGAAGTGCTGGAAATGGAATTTCAACAGTTCGCCAAAGGAGGAGATACGATTAGCGAAATGGATTTTGCAAAGATTCTGTTGAGATACACGCACTTGGATACGAATTTGTAAAAAAAAAACAACATTATTATTATCTAACAGATGTCTTGTAACAATATTGTATTATATAATATGCACTGGCTGTGGTTAATTAGGTGTGACTTATACTTGGATCGGTTGTTGGAAAGAATCAGAATAGAAAAAGGCATACCGCCCGGTATATCTTTCGACGAGTTCAAAGTATTCTGTCAGTTTTTGAACAATTTGGAAGACTTCACTATCGCTATGCGGATGTACACGCTAGCCGATCATCCGATATCCAAAGGTAACATTTGAATTATAAAACATTATGAATTTCTATTTTTTGCAGCCCTTACAAATTCACAATGATCCAAATTCTTAAATAATTAACAAAGTTTCTTTGATCGAGGCATAGCGGCTCTATTTCACTAGACAATTTCGTTTAGAATCTGTCGTTCATTGTCTCCTCGACCGCTTTTGTTTATGCAACGTAAAATTTGTAATTAAATACAAATTGTTTTTCGAAATTTCAGACGAGTTTCACCGAGCAGTCAAGATATGTACGGGAACTAGTTTGAGTAAACATTTAGTGGACACGGTGTTTTCAATTTTCGACGAGGACGGCGACGGACATTTGAGCTACAGAGAATTCATCGCTATCATGAAAGATCGTTTAAACAGAGGATTCAAAGTATGATATAATTATTACTTTTTTTTTTAAATTAATAATCTGATGACAAAATGTATTTTTTTTTTCCAGTCATATACCAAAAATGAAGGATGGGATGCCTTCAAAATTTGTTTGAAACACGAAATAAAAACTCCCAATTAAAAACAAAATAAAGAGTAAACTTGTATTTGAAATTATATTTTTATTCTTCTCTTACATCAGTTTCGTTTTTGTTAGCTTGTATAACTCACGTTTTCTGTTTTATTCAAATGCTAAAAACATTTATCAGAAGAGTATAAGTTAAATGTATTTTTGGACAAGAAAAAAAACAAATCTTAAGTAAATTATAAAAAAAAAAAAATTAATTTTATTATACTCGTTAAATATTTAACTAACTGTAGTTTGCTAACATATTTATTTCTTGTTATATTTAATTAATATTGTTTGTTAATAATTATAAGAGTTTCTCAAAAAATGTTGACGTTTAAATCTTCTAGTCTAGAAATGAAATCAACAGCCAGGATGCATCCTAAAAATTAAAAATGTAATTAATTATATTTTTATTAACTAATTTATTACTACAAAATGTAACAAATCATTAAAATTTTACGGACGACCAAATTTTCTAAAGAATACTAACACGTTTTACTTTAAATACATGCATAAAAACAAAATGCAGATTATGTCAAAATTGATGAAAAGTAATCGTACGAGTTTTTGTCGGAGAAAAGCAAACTTGCTAGTCTTCGTTGTTACATAAAACAAGTTAGTATTTGTACAAGGGGCGTCAAATCATAATTTTAATTAATAAGTATTGATTTAATAAATAGTACGTTGGTATTTTTATTAGAAAAATAAAATAAGTATTTTTTTCCATAAAATACAAATAAAAATACAACTGAAGAAAAATGTTCATTTCATCTTTAGGAAAAGGGTTAAACCTCAAGCATAAATAGACTTTTTTATTTTTTAAATTTCAAATAACAAACGTAAATCAGTTTTCAAATTTTTAATGAGTTTCTACAAACACTTTCCTTCCTCACTCAACTAATTTTTTTTTTTAATTGTGTTCAACTCTTACCGAACAAAATCTGCCTTCGGCGTGGAGAATTTGTTTCGTACAAGAAAATTTGACAATATGCTGGAGACCTTTTCCGGATCGTCTTCATGGACCGCGTGTCCAACTCGAGTCAATACTTGCATTTCAAATTTACCTATTCAATTTCAAGCAAATTAAATTTAAATTATACATACATAACGAGTGAATGTTATTTTATTATCAAATAGTCAATCTATATTTAATAATCCTCACCTTGCATTTGCCCTACAGTTAAATCTTTATCCAATCTGTCGATGTTGGCCAATAACAAAAGTTTTTGAGCATGTATCGATAGAAATTTCTTCGACAAACCTTGGAACCATCCGGACCAATGTTTTTCAGTTTTGCACAAATCGATCCGCCAAGTGTAGTCCCCTACATTCTTAGTTGGCTAAAAAAAAAAATAATAATAATAAATAAATTGTCAGCAAAACATAATTTAACTTTTTGATATATTTTTTAGTTTTTATCATTACCAAAATAGTCGATGAACTACACTCTTCGTCTTCGTTTATCGACTCGATAGACGAATATTGGGGTACATTGTTCGATTCCGGTATTATAGGCGTTTCAATTGGTTGGTCCTCGAGTTCGTCTGTACCTAGTTTACCAGTGGCGACACTAAAAAATAAATAAAATGTATGTATAAATAATATAATATTATACAACACATCAAACCTGAAAGACTTGCATAAATAACAAATAATAATTTGCATCTTATCTTTTGAATTTTTTGAAATACATTTTCATTTTCAGATCAAGATCACATCAAATTTAAGACCAATTATTATTTATATATGTTGCTTACTTTTTTATTTGCCCAGGAATTGAAACTCTAGCCGATTCCTCGTTTTTAATATGACCGTTTCCCATTCTGAAATAGTATAACAGAATTACATAATAAGTGGCAACTAAACAATGTATGGTTATATAAAGTGATAATTATGAAGCCACAAATACGCCGTGTAACACATAATTAAAACCATTTGGCAAAAAGAACTTAAGAACTATCATTTTTGTAATATTGAAAAAACAACTATTAAAAAAGTTCAACTGTTCTGAACTATTCATAAATAGTTTAAAAAATTTAAACCACATAAGCTGATAGAAAGCTAGTTGACAACTAAACTAAGACTTAGACTGTTGTCTACTAATACTGTTAAATAATCAAGTATTTACACACCCCCACGAGATAGCGTCCTTGATGCTTTTGAACGACTTGGGTCGGCTCCTCAGGAAACTCTGCATACTCGATAAAGATTCCATAGCCGACCCTTCGACAACATCAATTACAACCAGACCGATTATTGGTAATTTAGATTCAGCCATAGAAGCTATGTTTACTGCGATAGCGCCACCCAAGCTGTGGCCCATCAACACCATTGAAGGCATTTTTTCAGGATACAATTTGCATAGGAGATTTGTTACATCGCTGTGACAAATTAAAAAAACAAAGATGAATAAAATGTTACATTTGAATAATATAAAATGTACGACATACTTGGAGAATGATGTCATGGATAAATCGTTGTCATCTGTCGTAACGGTATTCCCATGACCACGGAGGTCTATTGCCAATACTTGACATTCGACTTGTTTATCTAAATCCGCCTAAACGATAGGTAATAATATTAACGTAACTATTTGAAAAAGATTTGTTTTATTTGTATGACTACTAAGCAATAATGTAATTACCGCAAAGAGCGACCAGGTAAGAGCATTAAATCCTCCACCGTGGAGTAAAACTATCAATACTGAATTGGGGTCACCCGTGGAGTACGTCATGATTTGATTTCCATTCACTTCGACAATACGCTTGGTTTTGAAATAACGACTCCACGATATCGGCGACAGTTCTTCATTGGTGCGGTTTAATCTGAAAATTCGAGCACCAACATCTAATCGTGTTCTTAGCGAGTTTTAACGAGACTACTTTTTTTTTTCACCTGGTTTTTCGCTGAGGAGGTTTCTTGAAATTTCCACTGAGCGAAGGGAATTTACCGATATGAGACATGGTGGGATATGATATTAATCACATTTCTTTAACGAAAAATGATGTCTTTATTGTATAATTGTGTGAAGTATTAATATTTTGAATAACTAACTAACAAGTAAAAATCTACGATAGTATCCTCAAGTAGAAAATAGATTAGGTACGGACCGCGGACGTACGGTAAAAACGCAATTGTAAATAGTAAACAACGTTATCACTTTTAGAGCTTATCAATGCGTTATCAATACAAAATATTTCTCTTAGTGATAAAAAAATGATGGTGATAACTGATAACTTGAGTGTCTTACTTATTTCCGTTAATGATCGAACGGTTTATCAATACTGTATGATTTATACTAATTTTATATAATACCAATAACTATTCTAGCTCTGAAATCTGAATAGCAAATCATACTCGAAACAAGCTAAGTTTGTTTACTACTAAATTAACTTACTCTTATTAGTGTCAAATATTAAGAACTAATAGTTAAATACGAAAAATGTAGGTACCTAGGTATTTAGCATTCTTAAAAAGAAAGGAACATACCTTACCGTGCCTTGTTGGAGAGGTGTAAAGACAATTTGAACACGCAATCCATAATGTGCACTCTATAAGTAAAAAAAAAAAATTGCAAATTTTTACTTTTTTTTTTAAGATTTAATTCTGATCGAGTTTTTTCTAACACGTCTAGTTTATAAATCGCCTCTAAAATTGTAAAAAAACACCTTTTTATAATATTTTCAACGTGTTATGTTAGGTGCATTTAAATGATTTTCTAAAACTAATTTCAAATGGAATTTTTTATTATACTATTTTTTTGCTGAATTCAGAACTGTTCTGACAGAATTAAATTTGTAGTTTTGAATTCAGCGAAAGTAACACTTAAAATTATATACATTTAAGTTGAATTATTATTTATTTCTATTAGCAGTAATTTTCAATACTTTTTTACTTAAATTGTCTTTTAGCCAAAAATGTACCATTCAATTTTTTCTAGAGATAAATGAACATATTTGAAATATCTGTAGGTACTTGTGATGCTATACCTTATGTTATGCAATCATTTTACGCATTGTATAACAAATAATCAATATAAAAAAAAACCAGACAAATTAAATTAAAATAATAAATTGTAATATATTTCCTGTAAAATATAAATCTTGCATTAGTATAACTAATAAGGCTCAATTATTTAATAAATTCTTCTTTTCTAGTGAATACATATTGACTATTAAGCATTTATTATAAAGTGGTAAAAAGGTTATTCCCGTTAATGTAAATGCGCATTAAAATTGTAGTGGAATGTTAACGGAAATTGAAATAATAGGTAATAAATGCAAAAAACTAATAATAAAATATGTTACGTTATTGCTCTGGAATTGTTTATTTTATCTGGATTTACAGAGTCCTCGTAACAAAGAAATCAAAATAATGCGAATGTTGAACAGATTTGTGAAGATTTATGAGACTTAACCTTAGACTTTGCGATAACGGAGATAAGAAAATATTTTATCTACAGCAATTATCCTTTAAGACTTCCGCCTTAAAAAAAAGAAACGAAATTCATTTTTTTAGCATGTAAAAAATTTAATTGTACATATTTCGAAATAATAATTGACAAAACGTTTAAATAACCGTCTATAATATGTGCCTTGAAACATAACCAAACTGTATTGTAACGTACATCTACTGACTAATAATATCCAGGTGTTCAATAATATGTATATAATAAATAATAATAGTTTATAAAATTATGTAATTACACGCAGTCGAGCCAGCCTGTACGAAAAACGTGATTTGACTATTTCCTTTATTATTTGTCTATTCAATTATTTAAATGGACTAGCCTATGCTATGTTGACTAGAATGTATAATTAAAATTTATTATTTTTATTGAAATAATTGGTTTAGGCCTTAACTATAAAACGTATTAATATTTAATTTTACCCTCAGTAGGGCAGCAAATATTTCTAGAGCCTCTCAGTCTCAAAGATTTGATTTATTTTTTTATAAAACCTAAATATATGTACTTTTAAGCGTTAATCGTTACTAATTATTCCAATAGAACCAGATTACGAAATGCAGAATTGAAAAACGCGGGATAGAACATCAAGCTATGTATCCGAAAAAACCAAAAAATGAATCATTTTCATTATTAATTTAGATAAACAATTGTATTTATTCGCTGTTTTAAACAATTTATTTATTGAATAAATAGCTTATTTTTTTAATGTAGAATTATTCAATTAAAATCGTAGATAATTTATTGGAATTATGAAAATCGCACACTCCTTATTCATTTTCAGCTATTACAATAATATAAACCATCAATCAGCTGCTGCAAATGCTACTTGCTGTGGTTAATACTTAGTACTTACTGCCTACAGCCTACTGGACACTGGTTAACAACAGCTAACTATTGTTGTCTGTTGAAACAATCAAAAATCGTTATTATCATTAAAATTATTATTTATTACGATTGCCCCCGGAGAATCACGCCGGAGCGTTGGCTGCACTGTCGTCGGTTTGTGCGCAGTTTTGCCGACCTCTTTTGTTCGATGCCAGGCGCTGACCGGGTTGTCATCGTGCGCCGTGCAGTTCTGTCTGTCGTTTCCCGTCGTCCGTCTCGTCGACATCAGCTGAGCAGTGTCCGTGTTCCTTCTGTGTGTGTTTATTTTTTTTCTTTTTCTTTTTACTGCTTCTGTTTCTTTTTTTTCTTTTTCAATACCGCCTGGTTTTATCAATTTTATTAAATTCTAGTCGAAAATCGCGCAAATACAATAACATCATTAATGTTTTACTCGAATACAACGCTTCCGCGTGACTTGTCTTTTATTTTGCCGTTATCGATAATCTACCACTGAAAAACATAACAATAATAATACCTATGCAGTTTGTTTAACACTAATAATAATAATAATAATATTATTATCAATGCCGTGTGCGAATCGATCTCGTTTGATGTACACGCGGAATTAACACATTGGATTTTCACATTTTCGACGACCTCGTACGGTAAGTGTACGGCCGTTGTTTTGTCCTAATAATAATGTTAAGATAATGATATTAATTTTTTTTACTAACCACGATTTACGAAAATATTAAATCACAATTGCGCCGAATTTAGCGCGATAACGGTGTGCGTATCTAGTTATTAAAAAGATAGTATATAAAAAAATTGCCTATTATTATTATTACCTAGTTACATCACACACATCTTTCAGATAGTATTCAGTACATAAATAAAGAAAAGCAAGGAAATGCATGCATTATCTTAGTTTAGTTGTAACAACCAAAAAGTAGTTTGATTAGGAAAAAAAAAATGTTTTTTGATAATCGAGCATGAATCTCCGAATGTGTAGATATGTGATCGATTTGACCTTGGGTTCGAATATTTTGCTTTATTAATAGTAGCTTGCATGTGCTCGTTTTTTTTTTCATTCTGAACTTGATGGAATATCAAGTGGGGGAATTCTTGCTATTGATATAGTAAAATACCTATTGTCTTAAAAAAAAAACATACACCTGTTTTCATTCGAGATATCTGTGTTCATTGTTCAATATCAATTAAGTACGACAAACCGTAACAAAACTACTGTCATTATATGTAATATCATGATCTTGTTGGCATTTGTGATACTGAATGGTTGTCAACAAAATATGTCTACAGTTACCTACTTATCTACCTAAATATACAACCTGTGTCTATCCCAACTTCAGTATTTGGTTTTATTTTGATTCAATTTTATTGTGTCTTTTCTGTTAGGCTAGATTATGTATGATCTAGGTATATAATTTACGGATTACATGATTATATATCAGACTATTTATCCTGGTACTTGTAATAGACACGACTGAAAATGACTGCATCTGTAAATAGATGTCTAATTTTAGATGTTGAAATATCTGTGTAGGTTAGCTTAACACTTATTATAGCTACTATAACTACTTTATTATAATAAACTTAACAGTATAAACATTTATCTGACAATTGTAGATTAAATTAGATTGACTATTGTTCTATTTACTGATATCATTCTAGTCTGAAAAAGCAATTTTGGTCTTATACTTTTTTTACTGTTGTATAAAATTAACAGTTACATACATGTTTTGTTACATTGTTAAATCCAGACAAATCGAATGACAATTTTAACTGGTTAATAACCAGTATTGAATAATAACATTTTAAGTTATAATGTAGGTTTACGTAGTAAACTAGTTTGTACAATTTACAACTCGCTCAAATGACTACCGTAAATTCACATTAAAACGATTTATTTTATATTATTTAAATATTCAGCTGTTACTGCAAAGTATTCCTAATTAAGAGTAAAGATATAAAACATTAGTTATAATACAACCAGCTGTGTTTATCTGGTGTAAATAATTTGCTCATATATCAAAATATTATTGTTTACATGTTCTAATATCGTTCTATACTTGTGCCAACAGCAGTTACTTTTCACTCTGCCCCAGAAATTGGATGAGTCTCTTTTATATCTTTGTTGGAGTCCTTTTGTTTAAACGATCAAATATTTGCGCATTCAAATTTCTACAAGCCAGTGCGAACAAACAAAATTGAATTTACTCTTTTTCTCCGATACACTTACTAAACTTTCAAGTACTAATGTCTCGATAAATTATTGTTCAAAACTGGCCTTTTAAGTATTTTATCGTTATTTTTACCAAGCGATTTTCAAAGTATGATTTAAAGTACTTATTTAAATACTATTTGAGTTTTTGTGTTATAGAATCTTATTCGATGTACTTCACATAACTAAAAAGTTTCTATTTTGCCAACAAAAAAACAACACCTGTTTAAATGTACAAATGGTTTAAGTGCTGTTTTTTGTTTGGCAAATAAAATTTAGTTTTTTTGGAGCGCTAACTTTTTTTCTAAAATTATTATTTTGTTTGTAAAATTAATTTTTTGTTTTTAAAAATATTTTATATTCGTTTTTAATATTGTGTTTATCATTTTTTTTCTCTTATACAGTTTATAAAAAAAAACTTTTTCGTACTGGCTTAGTGCATTTTTTTACTCATTTATGTATGTTGGTATGTATTTAGGTATGTTGAGATGTTCAAATTTACAATTAATATTATAATATATAGTTGCATCATATTGATTAGATGCAAAGACAATGAATATGCTTAACTGTACATTAGGTACCTTTATTGTTTTTTTTTTTATTATTATTTAATTACAATTATCTCTTATTCTTCATTACATTTCAAAAGATAAAGTCAAGTCGTACTATAAAACCGAGAGAATTGTCCATGTCTATACATATATGTAAATTTGTACAAAGTCCAAAGGTTATCGCGTAATTTTTGAAGACCCGCAATGAACACAGATATTTTTTTTAAATTATAGTGTCCTAAATTAGATATTAATTTCAGACCTTTTATTCTAATCTGAAATAGATTTTGTACGAATTTAGCCAATAGCTTTATTATTTTGAATAGAATATTTACGTTAGTTGTCGAGTGTATTATAATTTGTTTTTTATAACATTTTGTTTTTATTTCATTTTTTTTATAATTATCAATAGTTATATTACTTTTACATTGATGTATTTGTTTAAATATTTTTTTTTGTAATATGTGTAAATTTTTTTCATATTTTACGAATTAGCTGTAATAAACGGCCATCACATTTTAATCAGTGAAAGCGTGTGCACAATTTTTTTTTTTTTAACAACAAATTCAGAAAAAAAACCTGAGGAAACCCCGACACTAGGTTAGTACGGTACAATTATATATTACAATTTACAAAATATAATATTATTGATAATGATAAAATGTTAAGCAACGTTAATTATTATAATTAATAATATCTTTTTGTATGTTTAATATTTTATAATTTACTTAATAAACAATGGTTTTTTTTCGATACCTCGATGTTATTCTTTTACTATAGCTAATTTATTTTGAATATTTATTATTATATTAGCGATATTCATTTACCAACAATATGTTTTTAGTATAACATTAAATATTATCTATTATAAAATTTCAGGTACTCCGATCTATACTGCGTATTTATTTTAATCTCTTAAACCCGAAACAATAACAGCTGTAATATAATTTATTAATAATTGATGAGTATTTTCAATCATAATAAAATGCTGTTGTTTTAAATATACATTTTTATAAGTATTTTTTCTTTGTTTGTGTCTGTGACTAATTTCCCGTTTACATATAATAATATATATATTTTTTGTACATAATATCCAGATACATTTATTCAAATAATAATAATAAAAAAAAAAAACAAGACATATTTCATATGCATGTGTTTTTCATGTATAAATATTTTATTTATCCTATACGAGTCACCTAAAAAGCTTAATACGATCACATTCATACGTACTATCAAAATGTTATTAAAGGTGTCGGATAATACAATTTTATAGGATTTGATGCAAAGACAATGAATATGCTTAACTGTACATTATTGCGTTATGTTTAACGACATACTATTTTAGTCAAATGATTTACTTTTTTTATTACATGAAACATATTATTACAATATTTGATAATCTTTTATTTTATTAATTTCACATGTCATCCATATCATAAAAATAAACATACATCGTCATTTTCGGTGAGTTAAATATTTTAAATATTTTCGATCAATAGTGTTCAAAAAATGGCATAGTTTTCAAAGAATATTACTAATATTAAAATTGTATATATTTAAAAATATTTATAGAGTTGCGATTTTTTTGAACAATTTCATAGTAGTTGCATAATTATAAATAAATTGTAGACGTACATTACCAATGTACATTAATTTCACACAATCATTGTTTTGGGTATTTTCTGTGTACAATTAAAAAAAAAAAAAATTGATTTTATTAGTCATTTTATTTAATCCTTACCGAATTATTTTTATATTACAACTTTTATTTAATTAATTTATCAGCAATGTTCCTTAATATCTTTTGTTTTTCTTTCTTGCTCTTTGAACAAAACCCTAATGAAAAGTATATTTTTGAAAAACTGTTTTCATGTAAAATTAGATAGGTAATTTTTTTAATGCTTTCTATTTGTTATTAGCTTTGATGCGTAGCTGAGAATGTATTGATTTTATAATAGTTTTTTTAAGTGTCTTGGCTGATTTTTTATGAATAAGTTGTATGATCATACAGGAGAGGTATTTTATTGGGCATGAGTTGCCTATTAAATCCTAAAAAACATCCTTCGTCTCGTACACGTTTCCAATATGACAAAAAATATTATACAATGAGGTTTTAAGGCTCAACAAGATCTAGATTTAATGGGTAAAAAAAAAAAATAATTGTGTAAGACTGTATTTGTACTAATTCAAATTTTAATTTAAACTTTAAAATTTACTTTTTTTTTTGTTAACGTTTCCTCGATTTGCTTGACGTTGTAATGACAATTTCATTTTAATGGGCTTAAAAAATACCTGATCTTTTCAATCAGCTTCTTATATGATTGTTAAATAATTTTCATTGAATTTTTAATTCATCCAAAATCAGTAATTTAATTATGAGGTATTAATTTTGTTATTTATATTTGTAATTTTTTTTGCATTGACTCTTTTTTTATGATTTTGCCGTTATTGAAATATTGTACATATATATATATATATATATAGAAGATAGAACATATAAATTTGTATACTCAGTTGAAATTAAATTTTAGCTATAAATTAACAATATATTTTTCGGCTTGAGCACAAATAACGACATTATTAACACCTCTAATGTCTAATGTTACAGTTACGGATGCAGCGAGTACGCAGTTGTTCAGTCTGTGTACGTAAGAAATGATCACATCGCAACTACGAAATGAACGCACGTTCCCACTGCCTTGAGCTAAGCGTCGAAGGCTTTCAAGTAGACGAAGCGGTCTCGTGCTTATTTCACACGGTGCTACTGCATCGGTCACTAGGCAAGTTTTGTTTCTCTCCAGACGGAACTTACACCATGGGAACCGTAGGCCTGCAAGACGTTGACTGTGATTTTATCGATTTCACATAC